CATACCTGGAAGACCATTTTGGTAAGCGCCGCTTCGGCAGTCATCAAATTTTTTTGCAAATTTCCAATAATTTCGTCGCGGACCTGAACTTCCCCTTCCAACCTCCGGATTTCTTGCTCTCGTTTCTGATGCTCAGGCACTGCAACTATGACAGTAAAAAATTATATGATATGCAAAATTTTCGAAAAATCTAAAAAAATGAGGTGATGCTCTACAAAAATATAAAAGAAATACCGAAGTGGCTCAAGTTTTGCCAAGTACTTTTGTTGAGAAAATCGTCGAATTGGTGATTTTTTCAGGAAACGAAGAGTATCATGATCACTAGCAAAATGACTAGCAAATCAGAGCACTGTTTGAAAAGAGCGAGGAACCCACTGGCAAAATTTTAGCGCCGCAGCTTGCTTGGTTGCCGAGTTGAAGTACCTGGACAGACGCATACACACATATATATATACACAAACGTGCACACAAACGTGCACACATACGCGCACACACAGACGCACGCACACACATACGTACACACCAACGCACACGCACGCACGTACGCACACACACACACATACACACAGACGTACACACACGCACACACATATATACATGTGTATATATACACACACACACACACACGCATACACACGGATACACACATATATACAAACATACACACAAACGCACACTATGGACGGTAAAAAACCCCAGAAAAATGATCCAAATATTTCAAAAATCAGGAAAAAAGCTGTCCGAAATATAAAGGCTTCCGGAAATACCTTTTAGAAGAAGCTCCGTTAATTGGGCATGTTTTTTACGAAATAATCGAAAAAGCGAAGTAAGTGAGCCGCAACTTCGATCTTGACATACCATCCACGCCAGAATCTACAAATAGTGGTACATTTTTATACTTTTCAGTATGAGCAATAAAACTATGCGTTTTTTCTTCTTCATCCCCTATATATTGATTCTGAACCAGCGATAGCGGAAAAAAACTTGTGCTTAAAAATCCTTCCTTTCTAAAAGAGCTCGGGAACCAGAGAAGCTGGAAAGCTGGAATTTTAAGGGGATGTTTTCTGATAGACCTGGTGGCCACCTCAATTCTTTTAGTTAGAAGCATCTGCCGGAAAAACTGGTGCTGTTACCGATAAAAATCTGTGGAGAAAACTGAACAATACCATTTTGATAATGGCTTCCAAATCGTCGGTACCCTCCAGCAAGCATTCTTTCAAACTACGACCATCAGCCATTGTTGACCAACCCAGTGTTCAGTTCAGTCTGTAATAAACAGCGAAAAAATGCATGAAACAAAGTTTCGCTTTAAAGACTACGGTTCGACCCATCAGTGGTCGGAATAAATTTTTAACAAACTTATCCCACCTTTCGTTTTAACTTTCTGACTCTGCTGACTCAGGCCGTGCCACATTTCAACTTTCAGGCTACGGTCGCGCCACACTTTAACTTTCCGACTTCGGCCGTTCTGAGATTTTGGCAACTACTAAAGCTCGGCTCGGCTCGGCACGGCTCGGCTCGGCCGGTGCGTTTTGCGCCCCA